CTACGGGAGTTGGTAAGGTCTGAGCATTCTCATAGGCAAAGATATAAGTCAAGCAGTCTAAAGGCCGGTATAGCGAGATTGTCATTGTTATGTACTATAGAAGTTTCTCAAAGTCCGCCGTAAGGGCACTGGGTGTGGTCACTAGGATCTGTGCAGTATTAGTGGATTTGTCCGTTTACTGCTTAGGGAAATATGACCAACCTTGGGCTCGATGGTTGTTCATCTTGAAGATTGTTGTGGGCGATTCTCGAAATTGGGCTCCATATCTGCATTTTGGGCTGCTGGACACTGTCTCTTGGCTGGCCGATCAATTGAGGAGGAGGAAGTGGGATAGTACATCATGACATTTGGGATGAAATGAATGAGATGTTATGCTTGAGAGTCTTTTAGAGACTTGCAAAATCCACACCGGGGCTGCTGTTATTGCATCCAAGACCTCCTGTTTCTCATATTCGACCGTGCTTAATAGACCATATTATATGTACGTCAACTGTTGATGCTCGGGTGGATGTGTATCTAAAGTTGCGAGACCACACAAGTTTTGCACCTGCGAGGCATCAAGGCACCCGGAATGAATCCTACTAATCAAGCAACGTGGCAATAGACAAATTTCACCAGTGAAACTTTCAAGGTTCAATTTCAGCTAGCCTACGATGTAAGGCTGCCAAAGGTCTTCATTTGGGACATATCCAGGAGGGCCAAGAACCAGCATTCTTCTACCAGGAAAGGGGTTGCAGTAGGTATTGTACGCCGCTTTATCGGCTACATTAGTAGGTGGGCGAGAGATGTAAGGACTGAGCATGCAGGCGCGCAGTCTGAATACATGGCAAGAGTTACATTCCCAGATGGATATTGTATTTGATTGCTTCCATTGATTTGATCTGCATCAATCGACAACTAAGCTACTTAGCAGCATATATGTCATTAAACCGACCTTCTGATTTGTTGACGCGAAGCAAACTTCCGATAATTAGCGGCCGTTCTAACCCGTGCTCTTTTCCCGTACACCAACAATAGAATAGGCATTATCATGGTAGCGAAGGCAATCACTCCAATGAGGACAAAGGTATGTTGGATACCCATTCCGGTAAGCCAACTAGTGAAGGAGAACCTGATGACCATCGCAAAACCATTCCGGACGAAGACGACGGCAACTAGCGCATCCCCAAGGATCTGGTCAATGATCTGGGTAAGCTTGGCTTGATGGGGCAACTATGGATATAGCCAGCGAGTTTGGGATCTAGCATTTACCTGAGGATAACAGTCGTTTAGATAAGTCAAAGCGGCATCGGCAGTAACGATAAAACCAAAGCCAAAGAATGCCTGCCCGGCTGCAAGAATTATCCAATGGAAGCCCTATATCGGAAAAATTTAATGAATATCCACGATGAAGCATAGGACAGTACGAAGATATTCTAAACTCACCCGACCCAGACCAATTCCAAAAACCAGCAATCCAATGGCGTTGAGTACGGCAGCAGGAATCATCATCCAGAGACGCATTTCCGGTTCGAAGATACCCTCATTCCGTCGGGCCAACCATATAATGAGCCAATCGTTGAAGAAAGGGGCTGTGAAGGTAGCAAAGAGGCAACCAACAAAACCCCCAAGGTGGAACAGCCCTATTGCAGAAGGACCGAAGTTGTAAGGCTCATAGATCAGAAAATAAGATCCAGCGGAAGCATTTGCCGAAAACCAAGCAAGAATGGAGCCAAAGCTGAGAGCGGTAAATGCCACAGCAGGGAAAGTGAAAAAAACGATAAAAGGTTGGTAGAAATGCTGGAGTATTGGCTGGTCGGTTTTAGTCACAAGAGCAAGTCGCTGGCTGTATGACTTGCGGCTAGGTCGGGAGTTGGCTGATAAGTGACTGGGAACAGACTGTGGCTCTCTCTCATTCTCGTGGTCTTCTTTGGTTCTAACAATCCTAGGATCTTTTGAAAGGATGAACTGACCCTTGAATGTTGGGATGTACTTTGATTCCTCGAAAAAGAACAAGACCAGAAGTAAGTTCACACCGAGAAAAATTGCAATCATCCACCACATCCACCTCCAACCCATGGAGGTAATAACATACCCTGCGGCGATGGGGCCGCCCGTAGCCCCGAGGCTCTGCATAAATATGAAAATACCATTCATGCGAGCATGTTGATGTAAAAAGAATAGATCAGCAACAGTAATCATCACAATGGCCTCACTGATGGAGCCAGATAAGCCGGCCAGCAAGCTCACTGCGATTAATTCTTCACCATGGTGAATGTTCGCCCACCAGATAGCACACGCAAATTGGACGGTGGCGCTGATAAGATACAGAGGGCGACGACCATATTTGTGCACGCACGGAACAAGCAGAAGGCATCCAACTGCGAGACCCGCAAAATTGGAGCCACTGGCATCATTGAGGGTCGCGTAAGTCAAGCCTAGCTCTTCTATGTACCCGCGGTACACTAGACTGTTGACGTCAATCAGGACAAAAGTAAACAAAACGTAGGTACAAGTGAGGCCGAAGTTCACCGCTTTTCTGAGTGATGACCAATTCTATTCATATATAAGCTCACATCTGGCAGTTGATGAGGGGGTGAATTCTTACCAGAGGGTCGTCGGGATGATCGGAGGGAGTGGGACTGAGAATGGTCTCGGAGGTTGGCGTATTGCCTAGAGTGTCATGAGCATGTGGAGCCAGATGGAAGAGCCAGACAGCTTACGATCTATGAGTAGGATGGTACCCGGGGGAAAGTTATCTAAGGATGCGTGAGCTTGCATCGTGGTAAACAGATAGTCAAAAAAAGATAGGGCACCAGCTTGAGTTTGTTATATACTTTCATCCTAGCTGTGGAAACCAGATCATTTTATAGCAATTTTAATGCCCGTAGCGTGGTCAGGCATCAGACTAAAAAGCGGTATGCCCACAGCTGTCCATCTGCGAGCACGAAGTGCGGAGGAGGTCTCCATTACACGCCTAAACGTGACTATACACGGGTATAAACCAATAACTATTCTTGTTGGACCGGCGAAATGACAGTGTGGGTCCAAGGCAGATCGAATAATACCCGGGAATACACGCATAAATACCGGGGTAGCAGATTGATCAACTGCAAAGATAACAAGAAATGAACCAGTGGTTACTCGGATAGTAGACCTGATGCTACATCACTCAAAGCGGAACACTAAGGCTAGGTCTGTCTTCAAAGATACGGAACAGATACTGGGCTTTTCCCTGGTCTCTTTCGGCCCAGACCCGGGCGAGAAACATGCGTAGGTTGGCCACAAAGGGATAGAAAGCCGCCCCCCGGATCCTTGAAACCAAAGACAGTACTGATACCCTCCCAGCTACATGTGCTATCTCTGCTCCTGCTACCAATAAAGCGAGGGTGATGTTTGGTGGATGATACCCGGCCACCTCCAGACAATGAGTTATATCTGCAACAATCGATGTGGCAAGTGATGCCGCTTCGGAGTCTCGACTTCCAAATTGAAACTGCAGTCGGTGCAAAATCAGAATTGCAGCTTTACGATGGATTTTGGCTTGTGATATAAGCACAAGCATTTCTTTGTCGGAAAATCGATTGAGAACGGACTGGGAGACAGTGGGAATCCATGCTTTGAGTTCAGCTGTCAACTTATCAAAATTCTCGGAAGAGAGTGAGCCGTCCCATTTCATTTCTCTAGTAGCGGATCCAAGAACACAGACTTGGTAAAGAAGTGGCAGAAGTGGCCCACAGAGTCCGGCATGTGGGTCGACGATACAGGGATCTCGAACTTGATACTTAATGACGGGGACCTCGGCCCGGAATAGCGATTGGGTGGTGTCCAGAAAGATAAGACACAAAAGCTCCCTGGTATCAGAATTGGCTAGTTGGCCAGAGTAGTAGAGGGGTCGCACAAGTGACAGCGTATGTCGGCAAATTGTACTTGCGGAGAACCCCGATATTAATCGGTGGAAAGTGAGCAAACTCAATCCCAGAGAAAGAAAACTACCCACATGATCCGTTTTGATGATCTGTGCGTTTCGGAGAGTTCCTAATGCAGAGGCGCAATTGGACCAGTCGGAATCGCTACAGGGAGCTTGACTGGTTGTAATTCTGAGTAACGCCTGAGCAACAGTTGTGTATGGTTGTAGGAGGAGGGTCGGCGCCTCTCTGAGTCGAGATCGGATCATATGACGCATCTCTATATTGAGGAGAGGACCAAATGAGAAAAAAGCACATATTTGAAGCGACATATAATCCGACATTCGAGAAAGGGAACTCTCATAGTACATGGTGGAAATGGGAGTCACGTTTGCGGAAGTGTCGGGTTCATAGCCAGTGTGTCCTTGGATTGAGGCAGTAGAAGGAGCATTGTCTGCCATAGCAATTGTTGATGGGAGCGATCTATGCCTGCTGGTTGCGCATGGTTTGGGTCCTCGCCTACCGCGTCGTCGAGAACGTGTGCAGGGGTAATGCAAACGATAGCAGCGATAACAGCTCGCCCCAGGCCCCGCTAAACAGCGGACCTTAATGGAGTGACATCGATCACAGGCAGGCGAAGGACCAGATGACATGGGGAGAAGTTGAACGTAAAACAGCGACATCGCTCAAAGAGAGCAAATATTCAAGAACGCCAATGAGAAAGACGCCACAATGAATCCGGTTTCAGCATGGTCACCTGTTTCTAAAGCACAGACTTAACCTGCCAGCCGAAATGACCAATAAGACGCGAAAGTGAGCCGGCCTAATTATCTAATAATCTCCATAAATCCATAGACCCATTTCAAGTGCCGACTTCGCATGCCCCGCAGCACCCCCCACTTCCAGAAGACATTCCGCGGCTGTTTTGTTCTCTTGTGTATAATCAGACATCATTCTCGGGGAAGAAGTGCCCACTTCACATGGCCTCGGTCCCGGGGTATTATATTTTATTATATATAGCAACATGGCCTGCAAATCGACTGTACTTCCTATTAACCCACATCCTTTGTGTATCCTGAGTTCATCAAAGCAAATAGTGGCTGCAGCTAAAAAATGAGCTCCCTTGATGGAAAGGTTCCCTGGCAAGGAAAGGCTGCTGCGAAGCGACAAGAATGTGCCAACAAGCTCCCACAATCATGGAGACTCTCAGAGCAGTTCATGTCGGGGTTTCAAGCACCAATATCCGAACACAAAAACGACATTATTCGAACTGAAGCAATTCGCAAATCGGGGATTTTAACCGATCGGGAACTGAAAATCACTGAAGATTATACGGTTACCAGCCTACTGTCTGCGTTGGCAGATGGAGTTTTGACGTCAACAGAGGTGACGCTGGCTTACTGCAAACGTGCCGCCTTGGCTCAACAGTTGGTATGTACAACAACCTCTAATCCGCACTTCTCCTTGCGCTTTGTCAATTAGTCCACTCAATACTCATTTTGAATAGGTATCTTGCCTGACAGAAACTATGTTCCCAGAAGCACAGGAACGTGCCGAGTATCTAGACAAACTTCGGGCTCAAGGTAAGCTTGCAGGTCCGCTTCATGGACTTCCCATCAGCCTCAAGGATAATTTCCACTATAAGGGGACGGAATCAACCATTGGAATGGTCTCTTTCCTAGGTGAGAAATCACCCGCCAACTCACCTCTTGTGGACATCCTGCTCGACCTAGGGGCAGTCCTCTATGTGAAGACAAATATACCCCAGACAATGATGGTATGTTGATTGACCTTTTAGTCGCTCGACTGCGGGCTGATAGTTCCTTTCTCGCCAGACTACCGACTCCCATAACAATGTATTTGGCCGAACTCTGAATCCCTGGAACACCTCCTTGGGACCTGGTGGATCTAGCGGCGGCGAAGGCGCGTTGATTGCTCTTCGGGGAGCCCCACTTGGCGTGGGAACTGATATTGGAGGTAAATCCAATGAGATAAAAAGACATGTTCGTTTTGCTAATCAACATCAGGTTCTATCCGGATTCCTGCGCATTGCTGCGGACTCTATGGGTTCAGGCCCAGCGCCGCACGAGTGCCAAATGGCGGGATGCGTGTCTGCACCACTAGTGGCATGAAATTCATCCTTTCCTGTGCTGGTCCACTTTCGACAGATCTTGGTGGGATCGAAACCTTTTTCAGATCTATATTCGACGCTCAACCTGCGCGCTATGATTCCACTGTCATCGACATCCCGTGGAGACAAGTCCCTACCAAACCGACTCTGAGGATTGGAGTTGTCCCTGAATCTTCGATCTTCCCTCTTCATCCACCTATTAGAAGAGTACTAGCCGAGGCTATTCACTCATTGAAAGCACAGGGCAACCACATCGTTTATCTCGACGAAGAGGAGTGCCGTTTAATGGAGGCGAATGAGATTGCGTGGAATTTCTTCACTCTGGACCAGGCTTCCAAGAAGCATCTCGAATCAGCTGGAGAACCCCCAGTTCCTGCTATATTCTATATGTTGAAACAGGGTGAGAAACTCAGACAGTTTTATAAACGTTCACTACCAGACATGACCACTCTTGATCAGTTGGAGAAATTGGCATTACTCAACACTCGACGAGCAGAACTCCGTGAGACGTACCGAAAGCTTTGGCTGCAACATAATCTTGACGTCTGCATTGCACCCCCCGCTCAGACGACGGCAGTGCCACATGACACGTTTGGTCTGGCACCTTATACCACTCTCACGAACCTTTTGGATGTAGGTTACCTGTCACGCCGTTGTTCTGAACTGTGTATATCTGACTTTGATTTCCATCACAGTATCCATCCTCTATCCTACCCTTTGGGAAAGTGAGCGAGGTAGATGCGAAGGAGGGCTTTGAGCTGGACGGTAATCAAGTTGGAGCCGAATGTGAGTATATAACTCCAAAGACCTTTTCATTTTTAGTTATTGAGTCTGCTTGGTTGACGTCCTCTCTAGATGACTTTGAGCAACTCGAAGGGGCGCCATGCTCCATTCAGATCTTTACCACGACCATGCGTGACGAAGAGTGCTTGCAGATTGCTAAGCAGATTGACCAGTGTCTCAGGGGCAATGAATAGGAGGCACAAGAGGTGAAAGGGGCCTTCTGTGATCGCCCTAACATATCTGATGCATCATTATAACTTACTATATAGTTGCTACTTTAAGACCTAAATCTTTTCCTCTGTACCTAACTCCCTACTTTAAAATTCAAATACGCTAATTATGATAGGGTTAATTAGAGCTCTATAAGATTTTATAGAAATTGGGGTTGAAATAAGTGAGTGTCCTAGGTAAGGTCGAAATTGTGAACTAAGGGTGGCCCCTACGCTTATTTAACCAATCACATTCACTAGATACCTGTAAGCAATGTATTATTAGGCGGCGTGAGCCTCGATCCGCAACCAGGCATGGGATAGGGTAGGTTGAATTGAGATCAGATTGAGCACACCACATTAAAAGCTCAAATGACAATATGTCGGTTTAGACTGCGACATCGCCCATGGACGGGCGGGTGGGCATAGCCCATGGGCCTTATGTAAGCTGTCCATGGGCCTATCCATAGGGCCCATGGACGGGCCCTACCCTTAGGGCCCACGGGCCGTGGGCGT